TTCAGATACACTTGCTCTACGGCAACGCTGAGGTGTACGTCTTCAATCCTCACGAACTGAGATTCCAATGCATAACTTTTCTACCAGGAGAAGAAGGTCGTCTGCGCTACAAATGGACCTCGTCAGCTAGGACCATGAGTGCTCTGTAGTTCACTCTAAGCGGCGTCCTCTTATCTATTCATATGCTTCCATGTTGTCGTCCCTAGGTATACGACATCGAACCCTCGTAGTGCCTCTAGGGGTATATACTGGTCCTTGCCGCTCAAATATGACGTCAGCCGTCCATCGATTGCCCAAGCCGGTGAGATGATCCTTCCTATGAAGCGCCTACTGTCATTCCCAGGGTCCGTGATCCAGCAGAGTCTCATCCCACCGACGAGGGCCGCCTGCTCATCCGAGGTTGCATCCCACTGTTGTGACGGCAACGTCGTGAAGGCCGCTGAAAGTGCCAATTCAGTCTACTGGCTCCTCTCCAGCGGGATAGTCCTCCATGCAACAGATCGCCATCTTCTGCCTCGTGTCAAGCCTGAAGGACTTGTCTTAGAGAGCATGCCTATCACGGATCTTGCCAGATGGTTCAGTCGCATCACTGAGGCCGATGCTCGGACGCTAGTGAATGACTCAGTCTTGGCACCTTTAGTGCGGCTCCTACGAATACCCTATAAAGTTCGAACGATAGCCGCGGGGTGGAAGCATGCCCTGTTCGTGCTCTGTGAGGAGGATAGAGTTTTCGGAATTGGTGACAGCAGTCTGGGTCAGCTGGGTCTGGGTGACCAACAATTGTATGCTGCTGTCCCTACTGAGGTCAGCAACTTACGTAGCAAGGCTGTCAAGGACGTTGCTTGTGGCGGTGCATTCTCCCTCTGCTTGTGTCGTGATGGTTCCGTATTGTCCTTTGGCAGTGGTCACAGGGGGCAGTTGGGTTGTGGTGGAGATGTGAAACTATCGAGGATTCCCCTCTGTCTGCCCCTCCCTGACAGGGCTTTCCTCATCGCGTGTGGTCCAGAGACGGCTTGTGCATTCACCGCGTCCAGCAACCTGTTCGTATGGGGGGTTTTTCCCCAACTTCAAGTTGGAATGGTAGAGATCCCTATTGGTCATGGCTTAGAAGCTCCTCTCCGTCGTGACATCAGAGCGACCACGAATGTCACATCAGTTTTTGATCATTTTGTACCACGAGGGGTTCTTACAAAGGAGTCGTCTCTGCTCTCACGAAGGAGCATTGACCGAATCGCGATAACTCATTCATCCCTCTTTCTCGCCTTCACAGCATACAAGGATTAATTACCGCCGTCTACATCTAGCCTACCACAGCTCGGTAGTCCCTCCTCCATGTAACATAGACTTTCTTGTGTGGACATGTAGCCTTATATTGCGTTGCTGATTAACGGACTTCCAATCTAATTACTCGTAGTGGGCCTCTGAATACGTCAGCTGGGTAGAAGTCTCCTCACCGTCTCCCTCTTAGTTGCAGTAGTACTGTATTTGCGACCGGTGATCATATGCGCTGTTGTAAGTCGCGCGCGCCCTAAA